TGTACACTTAAGGAATCATGCATCGAGACAACTGTATGAAACAAGGACTGATAGTTTTGCGGTGCATTCCTAACCAGAGTTACACTCTCCTAAGTCACTAGCTCGGCTTATGACTACACTGTTAGATGCTTACAGGACTAAGACTCAAAATACTAGACACAACAAAAAACAGTCACTCCATTTATAGTTCATGCCAGAGTAGTGAAGCAGGGGACAATACAAGTATCCATATACAGGAGAAAGGAAACACAGGTCTTTAATAATCCACTATTATATCTTTTGAGAACTTCAGCTATTTGGAAGCCTCCTACTAAAACTGCAGTTATCTTGTTCTGACATGAAACATTGCAAGATCGCTCTGGGTAAATGAGCATTTCCTTCTTACAGACCCTTACTTGAAACCACAAGTAATATACTTCAGACATGGAAGAGCAATTTTGCCACGGACTCCCCAGGACACCTGTGGGTACTCAGAATTTCCCCACAGCTAACCACGTAACTAATTTGTTTTACAAATGCAAAAGTGTTGGTTTGTTTTTTGTTTTTTTCCATTCAGGCTGTCAATAGTGCCACAAGAGTACACGTGGACAGGAGGTTCCAGTAAAACTCAGTGGGCACAACTGAGTTATCTGAAAGGCAGCACTGCATAGTGTTAAAGATATTAAACATTCAATATGTGATCCCTAACCTGGATAGCCCAGGCAAGCCCAGTCCTGTCAAATATTAGAAGGAGAGTAGGGTGGGCCTTGATTAGTATTTGAGCGTCTCTTGCCTTGAATACCCTATGGGGTCACCATAAGTCAGATGCAAACTTGATAGCAAAAAAAGGGGGGGTCCAGAGTGCACTGATCTACATAAACTGATTCAGCCCAGTCCTTCACGTATTTTTACTCAGAAGTCCTACTGAGTACAGTGGTACTTTCCCCCTTGTATGAAAGAATAGGATTGCTCATCAGCAACCTAGCACACAGTGATGCCCCTGCTCATGACACAGAAATCCCCCGTATCACCACCATCCTACTCTAGAGTCCTACTCTACCCAGAATAAATTTGAGTATTAAATTATGCAAAATGTTAGGCCCCTTGGATTTCCGAATATATGTAACCCAGCTACGCCATAAGAACTTTAATTCAACAGAACAAAGTACATACACTCAATCTGAGGAATAAACTCCACTAAACACTGTGGGACTTACATCTGTATAAACATGTTTAGGACCACACTGTAAATCTTTCCTGAATTTTAAGATAGATTTCCAGGGAACTTAAGAACAATGGAAGTATTCCTCTGAAATGTATGACAGTTAACCAGCAAATAAGAAATTTGCTGTAGAAATTACTGTAGACAATTTGAACTATCAGGCACCAAGTTAACAACACATTTAACCTATTTTAATACAATCAAAAATTAAAGGTACAAAACCTGTTCTAAAAAAGGATGCTGTTGTTTATTCTACTAGAAAGAGAAAGGAAGCTACTAAATTCATGGGGAAAGATGAGACACAGAGTAAAAGTATACACGGATATAGATGGGACTTCCACATAGCAATGATTGCAGCTGCGGCTGTTAATTAAGCACAGCAGCAACAGAGCTTCCACACATTGAGTTTCCCTGCATTTACTCTGCCGTAGTCCCCCACAGTAGCCATGCCTCCCTCCCCACCAGATGGTTTTGGGGCAGGGTTGCCTAGACCGACCATGGGCCATATGACCCTGATCCAAACCAAATATCATAACAAATCACTTGGCTTGCTGTTACCATGAATCTACAGTAAAACAAAATTGCACTTACCTGTAACTATTATTCATCAAGTATCTTCTGCACAGGCACACATGGGTACTGCGCATGAGCAGGCCTGCTATAAGGAAGCTATGTATCCTGACAGAGAACCCAAAGCCTGGATAACACACCTGCCATTGGAGAGGTTTTTACAACTAAAAGCCTCCAGGGGGCGCTGCGCACCGGAGCCAGAAACTTCTTCCCATCCAGGGACCACATGCTCCCACACAGCAGCACCCCCACCCTCATTACTTCTAGCGCCATCGAAGCCAGAGCCCACAGTGGGGCAGGAGAAAGGGTATGTGTGCCTGTACAGAAGATACTCGATGGACAATAGTTGCGTATAAGTGCAACTTTGTTTTCATCATCAATCTTCAGTGCAGTCCCACATGGGGATTCTAGCAAGCTACTCACCAAGCGGTTGGGCATGCTCTGCTCACTTGAACAGTGACTGAAGTACTGCCTTTCCCATTTGAGCTTCTCGCCTCGCTTGCAGAACCAAAGCATAGTGGTGTACAAATGTGTCTGCTGACAACCAAGTAGCAGCTCAGCAGATCTCCGTCAACAGTACTCCATCGAAGAAAGCTGCCAAACAAGCTATAGCTCTAGTAGAATGGGCGTGAATGTTTAGCAGGCAGAGCAACCTGGCCAGGAAACACAGGTCTTTAATAATCCACTATTATATCTTTTGAGAACTTCAGCTATTTGGAAGCCTCCTACTAAAACTGCAGTTATCTTGTTCTGACATGAAACATTGCAAGATCGCTCTGGGTAAATGAGCATTTCCTTCTTACAGACCCTTACTTGAAACCACAAGTAATATACTTCAGACATGGAAGAGCAATTTTGCCACGGACTCCCCAGGACACCTGTGGGTACTCAGAATTTCCCCACAGCTAACCACGTAACTAATTTGTTTTACAAATGCAAAAGTGTTGGTTTGTTTTTTGTTTTTTTCCATTCAGGCTGTCAATAGTGCCACAAGAGTACACGTGGACAGGAGGTTCCAGTAAAACTCAGTGGGCACAACTGAGTTATCTGAAAGGCAGCACTGCATAGTGTTAAAGATATTAAACATTCAATATGTGATCCCTAACCTGGATAGCCCAGGCAAGCCCAGTCCTGTCAAATATTAGAAGGAGAGTAGGGTGGGCCTTGATTAGTATTTGAGCGTCTCTTGCCTTGAATACCCTATGGGGTCACCATAAGTCAGATGCAAACTTGATAGCAAAAAAAGGGGGGGTCCAGAGTGCACTGATCTACATAAACTGATTCAGCCCAGTCCTTCACGTATTTTTACTCAGAAGTCCTACTGAGTACAGTGGTACTTTCCCCCTTGTATGAAAGAATAGGATTGCTCATCAGCAACCTAGCACACAGTGATGCCCCTGCTCATGACACAGAAATCCCCCGTATCACCACCATCCTACTCTAGAGTCCTACTCTACCCAGAATAAATTTGAGTATTAAATTATGCAAAATGTTAGGCCCCTTGGATTTCCGAATATATGTAACCCAGCTACGCCATAAGAACTTTAATTCAACAGAACAAAGTACATACACTCAATCTGAGGAATAAACTCCACTAAACACTGTGGGACTTACATCTGTATAAACATGTTTAGGACCACACCGTAAATCTTTCCTGAATTTTAAGATAGATTTCCAGGGAACTTAAGAACAATGGAAGTATTCCTCTGAAATGTATGACAGTTAACCAGCAAATAAGAAATTTGCTGTAGAAATTACTGTAGACAATTTGAACTATCAGGCACCAAGTTAACAACACATTTAACCTATTTTAATACAATCAAAAATTAAAGGTACAAAACCTGTTCTAAAAAAGGATGCTGTTGTTTATTCTACTAGAAAGAGAAAGGAAGCTACTAAATTCATGGGGAAAGATGAGACACAGAGTAAAAATATACACGGATATAGATGGGACTTCCACATAGCAATGATTGCAGCTGCGGGTGTTAATTAAGCACAGCAGCAACAGAGCTTCCACACATTGAGTTTCCCTGCATTTACTCTGCCGTAGTCCCCCACAGTAGCCATGCCTCCCTCCCCACCAGATGGTTTTGGGGCAGGGTTGCCTAGACCGACCATGGGCCATATGACCCTGATCCAAACCAAATATCATAACAAATCACTTGGCCTGCTGTTACCATGAATCTACAGTAAAACAAAATTGCACTTACCTGTAACTATTATTCATCAAGTATCTTCTGCATAGGCACACATGGGTACTGCGCATGAGCAGGCCTGCTATAAGGAAGCTATGTATCCTGACAGAGAACCCAAAGCCTGGATAACACACCTGCCATTGGAGAGGTTTTTACAACTAAAAGCCTCCAGGGGGCGCTGCGCACCGGAGCCAGAAACTTCTTCCCATCCAGGGACCACATGCTCCCACACAGCAGCACCCCCACCCTCATTACTTCTAGCGCCATCGAAGCCAGAGCCCACAGTGGGGCAGGAGAAAGGGTATGTGTGCCTGTACAGAAGATACTCGATGGACAATAGTTGCGTATAAGTGCAACTTTGTTTTCATCATCAATCTTCAGTGCAGTCCCACATGGGGATTCTAGCAAGCTACTCACCAAGCGGTTGGGCATGCTCTGCTCACTTGAACAGTGACTGAAGTACTGCCTTTCCCATTTGAGCTTCTCGCCTCGCTTGCAGAACCAAAGCATAGTGGTGTACAAATGTGTCTGCTGACAACCAAGTAGCAGCTCAGCAGATCTCCGTCAACAGTACTCCATCGAAGAAAGCTGCCAAACAAGCTATAGCTCTAGTAGAATGGGCGTGAATGTTTAGCAGGCAGAGCAACCTGGCCAGACCATAGCATTCCCTAATGGCTGAAACAATCCACCAGGACAAAGTTTGAGATGATGCCCTCTCTCCTCCATTAGGACCAACAAAACATATAAACAGTGCTCTATCCCTGCAGAACTCCAGGGTTCTTTAATTGCAAAACTGAAGGAATGGAAACCATGCAGAACCTAGATATGTGAAGAAAAATGTCTGAGGTCCAGAATGGGCCTAATCCCCCATTTTTCTTATCAACCAGGAACATTCGGGAGAAAAAAACCTCAGGTGCCTGGGACTCAGACACATCCCCTATTGCACCCTTGTCAACTAGAGTGATTAAAGTCTGGGACAGGTCTGGTGCTGCCTGGCTACATACCCCCAGGGGCAAGGAACATGGAGTAACTGACAAACTCTAACCTATAACCTGGTCTAACTATGGATAAAACCCACTCGCCGGAAGTAATAGCCTCCCAGGCAGTGTAAAACTGAGCTAGCCTGTCTCCAAACTTAACAGGAGCACAAACCACTTCTAGGCAGAAGGAAGATTTTTGGGATGGGGCTGCCTCTCTAGGAGGGGGTGGTTGGTGTGTCGACCTGGGTCAGCTGGAATCCTTAGGCCTATGATAATCCTGTTGTGGGGCAAATGGCTTAGAGGTAGGATACTGGGGCCCCGAAGGGTTAGCGTAGCAGTAATCCCTCTGGTAAGGGTATCGTAATAGCCTCCCAGGCAGTGTAAAACTGAGCTAGCCTGTCTCCAAACTTAACAGGAGCACAAACCACTTCTAGGCAGAAGGAAGATTTTTGGGATGGGGCTGCCTCTCTAGGAGGTGGGGTTGGTGTGTCGACCTGGGTCGGCTGAAATCCTTATGCCTATGATAATCCTATTGTGGGGCAAATTGCTTAGAGGTAGGATACTGGGGCCCCAAGGGTTAGCGTAGCGGTAATCCCTCTGGTAAGGGTATCTGGGCTGCCGTACAAATGGCCTCTGCTTGAATTGGGATGGGCCCAGTTGTGACACCCCCAATGACTTAGCCATCTGATTGTTTTTCTTTATCAGGGACAGTGTCTCATCAGTTCTGATAGAGAAGACTGATGAACCCACAAAAGGTAAGTCCTCAATCATGTGCATGGTCTCTACAGGCAACGTTTTTGATCTTAACCGAGCATGATGTCTGAGTATGATAGAACTTGCCATGGCGCATGCCGCAGAATCCGTGGAATGCCAACCTGCATTAATCTGCTACTTCAAGAGTTTGATAGCCTTGGTATACAGGACCTTAGCAAGGGGCCACTTGTCCTTGGGCAGAAGCTCCTAGAATATAATTTCCATCCCAGGACATCCAACTTCCATCCCTCTGTATCTGTGGGAGTGGAATGGTAAGCCTGATGGCCTTTAGCTTGCATTTCCTCCATCACCAGTGAAGACAGTACCAGATAAGTTATTAAACAGTCAAAACGCTCCTTCTTGATTTTGTAAAAATGTTCCACTCTTCAAGACATGGTTTGAAGGGATGCAGGCTTTTGCCACAGTTCTTGTGTAAGGTCCTCAAGACCCTCTAACACAGGGAATGCAATAATACCAAGGGACTCCGAATACAGGCGACTCAATACCTTGTCCTTTGGTTTGTAGGCTATATGGATCATCTGTTCCCCATACATACAGAGGTCTTCTGTAGGAGAGCCGGAGAGGGTTTTGCCCACCCTCTAGCCCAGACTCAGATCCGATGTAGTATTGGATCTGTTGGATTCAATGGAAGCATCCTCTCCCCTCACAGCAGGTATAGGAGAACAAAGTCTACATGAAACTGTTGCTGAAGGCAGATACAAGGAAGCACGATGAGGGTAGGGATATAAATTCGTCTTGCTGGGATGAGCAAAGCTGTCACCCCACTCTTCCAGATAACCTGGATACATTATGTATGGGTGCGAGAGCCATCACATAGGCGGCTGAGGCTGAGACCATGGAACCGTTGCCATTTGCTCTGGTTCGGAGTCACATGGGACTTGACCCATCAGTAAGCTCACTTCTGCTTCCCCATCTGTGCTCCCTTTCATTGTGGAGATATGAGGGCAAATGGGAAAGTCCACAGCATAAAGAGCTACAGAGAATGGCAATAATGTTGGTGGGATCAGGAAAGATCTGGACTTTCCCATCCACCACCAGCTTTGCTGCCTTCTTTCAAAAAAAGATAATAAAGCAGGTTTATTAAAGATCACAGAAAAGTCTCAGAAAAGGGGGAGGGAGTATGAAAGCACCAGGATGCTGAAAGTAAGTGGGGAAAATCCTGCTTTGCATTAGCATCCAAGCTAGTCCAAATACCCAGTGTGGCAGCAACTAAAATTACCAAAAAATAGATTAGTGGGAAGATGAATAAGAGTCTCGCAAAAGATGTTAAGAAACTGAGAGGGTGAGCTAAGAAAGAACGGATCTGTCACTCTGTAATTATAATTTCTGGAGCAACTTTTGAGGAATTGTCAGCACAAAGAACGGATGTGGAACTTATTGCAAACACATGCAGTAAAAGCAGAACCATTCTGATCAGAGAAGGGATCTTATTTGCCTATTCCTAACGAGGCCATTGGTCCAACTATCTTAGTACCATTTAATGTTGTTGACAGTCCTTCTCCAAAGTCTCGAAGCAGAGGGCTTTCCTGGTCTTGCTACACAAGATCCTTCTGAATCCAGGACCTGG